TAGGAGCTCATTAGCGGGTCACCAAAGTCTGATCGAAGAGCCAAGGAATCGCAATCCCAGTCTGTGGATTACAGGTCCTCCCCTAGAGAGAAGTCAACGTCACCACGACCAGATGCGACCACAACTCTATGGTGCATAGGGGTATCTCTCGTACATGCATATGCTTCACCCAAAGGTGGATATCTAGCTTTCCCGAACGATCTATCTATGTACATGCCGTCTGATGGAACATGGATGAGGTTTTGGCCCCCGTCTCTGTAGGCCTACCTTCACACACAAGGGTCACATAGTCCCTCGGCTCACTCATCTAGGCATAAGCTCCGACCTCATCAAGAGCTAACCCAAAAACCCTTCTCGGTTTATTTTTTTTATGACCATGTACCTTGGGTTTTCCAACTGTCTGGCCTAAATCGTCAAGTACAGTTCGATATCCGCAAATATCATTCGCCTAGTATGGTCTTCGAGGGACCACACTCTCACTGAGTTTATGTTCTACTATAATAAATATTTTCGTTACACACTCATAAGGCCTTTAAAGGCCACATAAATCCAACATCTCTCACTTGGCCTTTGAAGGCTCTACATTCTATATTCCTTACTTTCTCTCATCCCCATCTCTCTCACATGTCTTACAAAAACATTAGGGATAACTCCTTTAGTCAGAGGGTCTACAATCATCAAATCAGCTGAACTCGATCTCTTTCAATCTCACCTCATTTCTCAGGTGATAGAAGTATCGCTTAATATGCTTGGAATTCTTGTGAAACCGAGGCTCCTTAGCGACACAAATAGCCGCCGTGTTGTCGCAGAAAATTCGAACGGCCTCACAACGTACAAGATGAAAATTAAGTTAATTAATAAACTTCTTAATCCATATAGCCTCCTTGGCTGCTAGATAGCATGGCACATACTCGGATTTCATGTTGGACAAAGCCACAATATCTTATTTCTTTGACTTCCAAGAAACCGTACCCCCTCCAAGCATAAACACATACCCAGATGTAGACTTCACATCATCTGAATCCGCGCGATAGCTTGTATCTGAATATCCCTCTATTCCTATTTCAGTTCCCCCCTTATATGTGAACGCATAGTTCATGGTCCCCTTTAAATATCTGATAATTCTTTTTACTGCTTTCTAATGCTCCTCTCCTAGATTGCTTTGGAAATGCCTCATCAGACTCATGACGAAGAACAAGTCAGGCCTTGTTCCCGTCATGGCGTACATAAGGGATCCAACTGCGCTCTTGTATGGCACTATCTCCATGGCTCTTATATCCATGTCTTCGGTAGAACATATTTTATTACTAAGCTTGGTCTTTTTATCAATTGGGGTTAACATGCGCTTACACATACTCATATCAAACTTTTCGAGTATCCTCTTACAGTAGGTTACCTGGGAAAGTTGGATAGTCTTCTCTCTCCTGTTCCAGCACATATGAAGCTTTTCCAGGATCCTTCATATCGAAGTGTTGTGCAAGGAAATTTTTCATCTCTACTTCTAGGGCAATTGAGCTACTAACAATTACCATATCATCTACATATAACGATATAAAGACCACAACACTCCCACTGACCTTTTGATATATGCAATAATCTTCATTATTTGTAGAGAATCATGCAAGAGTAATGGTCTCTTGAAATTTTATGTATCACTGTCGCGATGCTTGTTTCAGGCCATAAAGGGATTTACTAAGTTTGCATACAAGGTTCTATTTCCCTTTCTCCTTAAATCCCTCAGGCTGAGTCGTGTAAATTTCTTCTTCTAAATCTCCATTTAGAAAGGTCGTTTTGATATCCATTTGATGAACCTCAAAGTCAAAATGGGCCGCTATAGCTATAAGGATTTGGATGGATGGAAATTTGGCAACCATTTCCTCATAATCTATCCTTTCTTTCTGGGTAAAACCCTTTGCAAGCAACCTAACTTTGTATTTTTTTATTTTCCCTTCAGAGTTCAACTTTTTTTTGAAAATCCACTTACGACCAATGGCCTTACGTTTTTCAGGTAGGGGTACTGATTCCTATACATTGTTTTGGTTAATGGAAGTATACTCATCTTCCATGGTTTCTACCCAGTATTCCCTTTCAGGACAGGTCAAGGCTTCACGGTGAGTTCTAGGTTTTGAATCTAGATCTTCCCCAACCTTATCAATATGTTCTCTAAGGTAGACAAAATGT